AAGGAGATTATACAGAAACCATTGTTCATTTTCTGTTAGTCGATTCTAAATACTCTGTAATGCTGTCATTCTCTTAAATGGTTTTACATTGTTTTGATATACTTAATGCTACAGTATACGAAGTTGTACTCAAGGATTTCAAGGAAAGAGACAATATGATAACTACTTTTAGGTCAGGATTATCTGGTGGTGAAACACTATTCTGCTTAAATGGTTATGTTTTGATCTGTGCTGTTTCGTTGTTATGCCCTCTTTTATCTCAATCTCCACTCCATTATTTACTTTTTTATTTTTATCCTTTTAATTAAAGGAAAAAATAGCAGGATATATTATAGTAACCCACTTTGACTTTCCATTACCTCAATGTAAAGCCCTATATTACTCTCACCATCTTGTTTTTGACTGAGGTTCCCCTATTCTGTTTTGCTGGATAGTATCAGGTTCGAAAATTTAGGCATCAGCTGTGAAGATAATGAGATTCATTATAACGCCCATTCTCGTTGACTTTTATCTACTTTTGAAGACCTACAATGTCTCCAATATTTTGGGTTTGTCAGTTTTATTCTTTACTGTTTTGTTCAATTGTATTATAACTAGCGATATAGGCAATTCTATTAGAGATAGCGGGAGGCATTATGGTAACCATTGTTGATCACCTTGTATTATGTTTTCACATTATCTATTATGTCCACCCTTTTGACTTGACCGATTCTGTTATGTCACATTTGGTTTTACTCTCTTCCAAAAAAGTAATAAGAACCGTGGGAGCAATGAAACCCAAAATGTGTAATAGTCATGGTACAAAAGAGAGGAAAAGAAAGTGCTCTAAACTATATAACTGCATGTATATTTAAGTGTATAAGACAGAAAATGATATCACAGAGTTTTATTGGATCATTGAACAGAACTGTTTGCAGTATCATTGATGGAATGTCCACTTTACAATCTTTAATTTTGTGACTTGAACAATTATTTCTAAGATGACAATATGTAATCCATTAACTAGTGATTTCCTACTGTTCATTTTTTTTCTGCAAATCTGTATAACTTGTACCCTTTCTCTGCTTTTTTTTTCTTTTCTCCTTAAATAAAATTTAAAAAAAAAAAGAGTAAGTATGCTTAAATTTTACTATCCTAAACATTTCTAAATATTCTACTCTGTGGCACTAAGGACATTCACCACCATTACCATCCAGCTCTGGAAGCTTTAATCGTGCAAAACTGAAACTCTGTACCCATTATATAATAACTTCCATCCTCCTGTCCACCATTCCATCCTCTGTAACAGCTAGCATGAAGCCCCATATCTTAGAATTGGGCAATTGGGCAAATTAACCTGCCTTGGTTGCAAACCTTCCAGACTAAACCTAGAAGGAAGCCTCTGGCTGTTCACTCCTCCCTTGTGTTGCCTTTTCTGTCACCCCATCCACCATTATATTCTTGTTCTTTTTCTCCCCTGAAGGTATCCAGTTTCTTCTGGTCTCAGATTTTTCTTGCTGTCTTCCTGCCAGATCTCTCCTCAGGTTTTCCCTTGGCTGCTCCTCTTGTGGGCAGTTAGGCCTCAATCCAGTACACCACTCACCTCTGCTCAGCCACTCTCCCTCCCCAGGCATTTTGTTTCCTCATATTCTAGCTTTTGGGCCCTTGTTTAGGCTCTAAGGCCCATGTAGAATATGAGCTCCTTGTGGGTAGGGTCACTGCCACATCTGTATCTAGAACAGTGCTGGTATACTCTGGTTATTTAGTAAATACTTGCTGACATGTTAATGTGGCTTGTTCCTGGCTCAGTGGTGTGTGTATACTCTTTGTGGGACTCTGGCCTGAAGTAGAGCTCACAGTTGAGTTACCTTGTCTTCTCCAGGATCAGGTTCCATTCCCTGCTCCAGTGTTCACTGGCTACGTGACTTTAGAGATGATTCTTGGGCTCTTTCTGAGCTGATATTTCTTCATCTGAGAGGTCAGGGTGATGACATCTCTGCAAGTCCCATTTTGGTCAAGATATCCCACCCCAGCACATTCTAGCCTTTACTGCTTAGTGGACGCTACATGCTCACTTCCCTCAAATCCCTTGGGTTCCCGGGATAGAAAAGACACTGCCTGAGCAGAGCTGTACCACCATGACATATGTTCCAAGCCTAAGAGAGATGGCAGGTGAGTCTGGGGTCTGGCCCTTTGTATCTGGGTTGTATAGTCTCTGGCTTGTGGCTATTATAACATGGTTCAGAGAGAGGGTACTGAGACTCAGGGCTGAAGTTCACAAACATTACCAGAATAAGGATGTGGGATGGCCAGCCTCTCCCTCTCTCCTTCCTCAGAGTAACAAGGGAATCCTTTGCCTCTCCCCATGCTCAACCACTCTCTCATGACATTCCATTTTCCCTTCCCAGTCCTGGAGTCAGACCGAGTTGGGCTTGCCTGGCTCCTAAATTCCTCATTTTACTGACCTCTCATGTGACCCTGCCACTCTGATCTAGTAGATTCTGGGAGGTACTTTGCCCATGCGTGTTTACCTCCTAAGGCCTAACCACTCCTTATTAATATTGACCCAGGTGAGGGAGTGGCCTCAGGTGGACTCCACCACTCCAGGTATCCCAGTTCCAGCTCTCACATCACTCTGGTGTTAGAACTCATCTTAGTCTTTCCTCAGCAGATAAAGATTATTGCAACTCCTGGAGTGCCAGGAACATGGGGGGTCCCAGGGCCCCATTGCCTGGAGTCACCCTGGCCCTTCTCCTGAAGCAAGCAAAGCACCCAGGGGCTCCCACATCTGGCTGCAGGCGGGGCAGGGACTCATTGCACTTGGGAAGGATACCGTGGGAACCCAAGGTTGCTGGGACAGGCCAAAGACCAGCCTGTCAGGAGGCACCACTGCCTTGCCCTACAGCAGGGGATGTGTGGTCCATCATCAGGACACAGCTTGGGTCAGCACAGTCACCCACCATCTCAGGGTGGAACACAACTGGGTGCTGTTCCTGGTGGGCACTGCACTGCTCCAGGGCGCAGTGCAGGTATCCACCCTGTTCCCCACTTCCATGTGAGAATAGGGTGCTGTCAGCCAGCACCAACTCTTATCAGGAACTTTGGGCAAGGCTCCCAGTGCCCAGGTGAGGCTTTCTCTGTTCTTTTCTGGATTTCTCTGATTTTCAGCAACAAACATATACAACAGACCTTTCAGGGAAAGCAACATGCCAGTCCTCCAAAGTCCTGTTCACATCTCCTTTGCTATCTTGGGCATCAAGCCTGGAGTAATTTTCAGGAGCTTGTTCTTCCTCTGTAGCCCTGTAGGGCAGTTCTCAGCCTTAGCTGCACAGTTTCATTACTTGGGGCATTTAAAAACACGATGTAGGTCCCCATGCTGAGAGATTTGAATTTAGGTAGTGGACTTGTTTTTGCTATTGTTGAACTAAGCATTGAATCCAGTGCCTCTGTACTGAGCTACATCTCCAATCCTTTTTATTTATTTAGACAATAGTCTCAATTAAATTGCCCAAGCAGGACTTGAACTTGTGATCTTCCTGCCTCAACCTCCCAAATATGGGGATTATAGGGGTGTGCAGGATCTATATAAAAACCCTTAGGTGATGTATATGTGCTGGAACTGTAATAGAGGTTTAGGTGCACATTTGCTAGGGTGCACATGCCCTCCCCAATTGGTGTAGGGGGCTACTGATCTGTTCTCAGAGGTGGGGCTGGTGACTGTGCCAGTTGGTGACTCTGGGTTTTGAGCAGCCAGCAGATTCACAGCTACTGGTATCTCTGGCACAGCATAAGGAATTCACCACTCAATCACCCTGTTACTCTGGGGACTCTACTACATGCCCAGTGCATCCCTTATTGGTAAACGCAAGACTGGTCATTAGATACTGTGCCATGTTTCCCATGCCCCTTTTCCCAGCCTCCTGGCTTCCTCCTGTTTGGTGCTATACAGAGATGATCTATGCTGGAATTAGAAAACACTGGTAGGAAGAAATTTCAGTGTGCCCAAGTCACTCACAATGACTGGTTTCCTTCCCTCCCATCTGTGGACTCTCCCTAGGACATCTCAATGTTGGGGCTGTCACAATTTGCAGCCATTGGTTTGTATGCTGTGTGAAGCAGATGGAGCTATGGGGGTGATGCCTGAGAGAGAGAAAGTGCTAAGGAGCAGAATGAAGACAGTGGGCAGAGAACATAGCCAGGAGTCTGAATCAGAAGCTGGACTGACTTCTCTCTGGTGGGCCAGCTGCTCCACTGTGAGAGGGTAGCTAGAGCATGGTATAGACTATCTGTGGCTACAGATTGTGTCCTGGGTGGTTGGGGATACAGTTATTTCTTGGGGTCTTAGGGGGTTTGGTCTAGGACTCCTTGGATTTCAAAATCATGGATGCTCTAGTCTCTTAAATGCTGTAGTTTCTGCATATAATCTCTTGTTTACAATACCTAATATAAATGCTATGTAAGTAGTTGTTATACTGCATTGTTTAGGGAATCATGACAAGACAATCTGTACATGTTTAAGGCAGATGGGCTTTTTTTCTGGAATATTTCTGACCTGTGGTTTGTCTGACTTGCAAATACAGACATGTCAGATATGAAAGGCTCACTATACACACTGGCAAAACCCAGTATCCCATGATAGAGCAAAGTCTTCACCTCAGAGCCCTTGGTTTTCTCATTCACAAAATGAGGCTAAGATCCACCCAATGAGATTCTTAGTACCAGTGTTCTGTCATTTGAATTAGGTATGAGTTCTGAGTTAGGTAAGGCAAATCCCTGCCAGGAGTCTCCAGTACAGGAGACCTGCAGTTTCTCTTAGCTTCATGGACGCAGGATGATGCTTATAGGATGTCTCACTGTGAGAAAACAATCTGCTATATCTGTAGTCTTACATTCCTTGTCTTGCTGCTTCTGGTAATCACATCTTAGCTATTGTGCTTAAAGACTGTGAGTTTAGGTATCACACACAATGCCTGGTGGCTCTCATGGAATAGGAGACAAGCTTCTCTCATACACACAAGACAGCAGTTTCATGAGTTTATTTTGGCAGGAAACAAATCATTGCAAACCTCTTGATTGACAATACTCATCCCTGGAAACGTGCACATTCCACATGTAGGATTTCCCAAATAATGCTGAATTGTTTATCACATTCAAATGCCTAGCAGACATCCATAACTTCTAGCCATCAACATCTCTACTATTAGGAGGGGGTATCAGTCTGCCGAGAAGCTCCTAGGAGAATGGATAAGGAACAGACATGATCAGATTTACAGTAAAATAGGAACAGAGGCAGCCAGCCAGTTTTGCACAGGCGATTCCAAGTACATCAAGTCATCTGCTCTTCTCAAACCATGGCATGCCAACTGTCCAGCACAGCACCTTTAAAAGTAGAGGCACAAACATCATGAGTGTTTGACCATAGGGCTGTGTGTTTCTGGAGTTTATTAGAAGTCATGTTTAAAATACAGGTTGTAAAACATTCCCAAGTTATAGACTTACAAACTTCTTTTTTACATACAAAGTTCAAATGCTGTATCCATGACAAGTCATTAGTGCATCCTCATTTCCTCAAAGACATCTCATCAGAACTGTACCATGTCAAAGGAGCTTCCCCACTAACCATCAACCATGACAGGTGGTATTTATTAGTATACAAATACATTGTTTACAAATAGCTAGTGAGTGAAACTACAGACCAACACACAGGATTCCAGAGCAAATGGAAGACGGAGCATTACCATCAACAGGAATTGTCAAGGTCTGGCTAGAGATGTGATAACATCATGGTAGGTTGGAGCCCATGACCCGAAGGAATCCTGTCCCATATCTTAATGTAAAGCACGCTTGTCCAGAAGACTACATTTTCACTTGGTATTGAGAGGACCATGGAAACTCAGGAGGTCAGACTTCTCTTTTGGCAAAAGAGTTGGAGTATTTTGGTAATGTGGCAAATATATGGCACAGAGAGTAGCTAATAGGTTTCATTAGGTTTTAAAGCCCACAATTTAATAAAAGTTAAGAATTAAGAACAATACCCGTATTTACCTTTAACAAACACAAACCCTAAACATTTATCTCATTTCTGGGCCTTAATGTTAGAATTCTATTGCTTCATTTACATGTAGATGATTAAAAATACATAGATATAGATATTTTGATTATGTACATAAAGCAGAATCAAGGGTTAAAAATAAAAACAATTTTGGAGTGTGATCAAATAAGGTGCACAGATTGCCGAACCTTCAGAGGCTCTGGCGGCCCTCCCGACACATTCTGTCTGTGGTGGCAGGGACTGGGCTCCCTCCCCATTAGCTCCGCAATGGATTAGTGCAACAGCAGTGCAGGGTGCTCATGGATGTGGAAATTTGTAGGTAAAGGGTCTGGCTCAAGTCTACCACATGTTTTCATTCCACCTGTCAGAAGTGGAACACTATTCGTGGGCTAGCTTCCCCTGAAACATTTTAGAATTTCAACTCCTTCTGTGTCGGCCTTCTCTGAAGTCAACACAGGAGGAGACATGGGTGAAGGTCTAAGGCTCTCATCAGGGCCTAGTTCTATGTAGACATCAACACATAACAGACACTTGACTGTAACATTAAAGACATTTAAGGCAGCGGGGTCATTTAATGACTAGTTTCCCAAATAAAGGTTTATGGCATGTGCAGATTTGCCATGTAATTGTCATCTGTGGTAATGTCTAGCAAGGAGAAATTTCTATTTTAACTGGCATGTGGATTACTGGGTTTGGAACACTCAAAATGTTGGGAATATTTCTCTTGTGAATGCACAGGAGTCCACAGACCAAGTGCTGTTGGGAGGACATCATTGGCAGCTGGCTTCATTATTTTGTGGATGAAATCAACAAAAAAAGGAGAAGAAATTTTACTTTGACTTCCAGTTTTGAGTGTTGGTAGTGCCAGTCGCTCCCACCAGAACTCTGGCTGAGATCCAACCCACAGAAGACTAAGGCAATGGTGCCAACATAAAAGGGTTCTTTTTACTTATGTTGAAGAGCAGTACTTTATAAACTGTCTTGCTGTCAAACAAGAAACATGGCACTGCTTAAACTGAGAAAGACTGCAAAGAGAGCCCAGCCTCAGAGGAGGAGCCCTTCTTCCTAGTCTGGAGTGATGAGTCTCACATCTAGACAGGCTTACCCAACCTTGGGCTCAGAATAGGCTGTGCTTCTAAGAAGACCAGGGGATGAACTTGGGCCATGTCAGCGTGGTGCCTGGATGAGGTCACAGGGAGAACAGCCAGCTTATCACAAGACCTGATGCCGACTGCAGTTTAAAATTAGCACCATACCTGCGTGGTGCTCTGGCCCTTTTGCCTTGGTAGCCTTCTGCACTCCTGGCTGCAGTACCAGGGAAAGGAGACAGGTGGCACAGTCTGCAATGGGGTGGGACACCTGTTTCTGACCCTGTCCAAGTTTGTAGCTTAGCAGTGAGCATATTCTGAGCATAGGCACAGTGGCAAAGAACAGTGTTAACAGCCGCTGGTCAATTCCATTTGGTGGCAGCGTGGTAGCAGCAAAGAAAATTCCCAAACAGCTCCATGTGTATCCAGCTTTTGGAAAGGAAAGATTTAAAAAATCAATAAACAGGCTTTTTAAAAATATATATATTCAAGGGTTTTAGGGTTTCTTGTAACTGTTCTACCAAAACCAGTAACCAAACAAAAAACACACAGAAGTATGGCAGTAGTGTGAAAGCAGAAGTGACATGATGCCACTTTTCAAGGGAAAAATGTGACCTCAAGACAAACTTGTTACCAGCATAAATGATAATCATATAAAAGAACCTATTATTTCCTAAAGTGTCGAGCCACACAATTGCAGGTACATTCTAAAATGGGTTAAAATGAATGCGGACAAGGACAGTCACAGCAAACTTCATGTATCAATGGGAGCCTGACTCTAGAACACGCCACAGGTGGTTACAGCAAAGCTACACCTGTTAGGAGACAGGCTCCTATGACTCACTCCCCCACCTCGATTACCCCCGACCCACCACACACACACCAACAGGCTTTAGAAAATTGTCATGTTCATCTTCTTTGAGTATCTAAGACAATAAAAGACTAAAAGATGTTGGAAATATGTTGTGTAGAAAAATTAACTCTCAGCTTAAAATAACATTCAGAAAGGCACTTCATCCTGTAGGAAACAGATTCTGAGTTGGGTCAGCTGCACTGAGCTGGGATAGAAGAGGACAAGTTGTCTGCTTGGAAGGGTGGACAGTTCAAAGAAGTCTAATAGGTATCAAGCTTTTTTTCCCTCTTTTTTTTTTTTTTTTTTTTTGGTGTGTTTTAAGAAAAGCAAATCCAGTAAAATGCAGGTCTCTTTATGAAATTTGTTAAAAGAGTCTTTTTCTTTTTTTTTTTAAAATAGTTGTTTCTGTTCTTAAAAACAAATCAGTTAGGCATGGCCACATTCACCCTGTGGCCAGAAGCACGGAGTCTCCTCACTATCAGTTTGAGGGAGGCCAGGTAGGTCCAGAGGCCAGAGGTTCCAGAGCACACAGGCAGAGGGGGCCGAGGCCAGGGCTACCTATTGCAGAGTCTGTGCAGCATGCTGTACACGTCATCCTCACGACTCAGCCCCTCAAAGAAGGGGATGAGGTCCAGCAGCTCTGTGTCCGTCATGTCATCGAACCACGACTGCACAGGCACCTGAAAGACAGTGCGTGGAAGAGGCAGCAGAGCTGTATCCAAGGGATGGGATGTTCTTAACTTTAGAGGGGCTTGGGCTTTTATCATTTTCTTTGGAAAAAAGGACTGGTGTTATGGTTTGTACCTGCATGTCCCCCTAAAACCTCATTCAGTCATGGAGGCAGGCTTCTCAAATTTCTGATTAATTCATGGTCCAATGCTAGGATTATGCGTGTGGCCCACGTATAATATAAGGGACAAAAAGAGTCATCTCTTGTTTTTCTCACTTCTTTCCTCCTGCTTGGTTTTTGCTGTTTTCCACCACCATGACTGACTGCCCCTATGCCATAACACCCTACCTTGGAGTCAGCTAATTATGGACTGAAATCTCCACAAACTGTGAGCTAAATAAATCTTTCCTTCTCTAATTTTAAGTGCCAGGTATTTTGTTTCAGCAACAAGAGAAAAGTAACCAAGACAACTGGTATGTAGTAATCCATCATCACAACCACCACCACTACCATCATTTTTGCTTTTTCCTCCCTTCCAACCAAGGTTAATTCGAAGTTACAAGATTTGGGTGACTCAGGGAGGCAAAGAATTTCCTGCCTTTGTGCATTTTCCTATTTTGTTTTCCAGCACAGAAAAGATGGCCAGAGCAGAGAACTAGCCTTTTTACTTGTCAGTTTAAAAAACAAACCCAAAAAACAAAAACCTCTCTATATGGCACCAAATCAACTTCCTGTACTTCAGAGTACATGAATTCAGAGGTTACATGCCAGCCATGAACACTGCAAGCCCACATTGGGGCACAGGAGGCTTCCTCTTTAGGTCACTATGCTATGCTACATAGCAAACAGAAGTGGAGAATTTCTTCCTGTGCTTAGCAGTGATCAAGGAAAGTAGAAGTATAATGTTTCAGGGCACTCTGAAGCCACAATCAATGGCAGGATCTCCCTTTAGCTTTAGTCTAAGGAGTAAGGTATGGTGGCCAGATGCATAGTATCCAAAGGTGCAAAGAAGAAATTTAGTAAGAAATTCAAGGAAATCAAAACGGTTTAAAAGTATTTTGGCCCATTTACAAACCTAAAGACAATTTAGAAACATAAAAATTCATCATGCCATTTTTTTTTGAGACAAGGTCTGATCTTGAACTCACTATGTAGCCCAGGCTGGCTTTAGACTCACAGTGATCTCCTGCCTCAGCCTCCTGAGTGCTGAGATTGCAGGTGTGCACCAACACTCTTGACATTTCATTATGCAATTTTGAAAAATAATGTAAAGATTAACAGAAAAATGAGCAGCTCTAGGGAAAGAGGAGAGAATAGGGGGAGAAATAGACAAAACACTTATGTATCTTCACTGATAGTTTTGGTGTTGAAATGAACATCAAAATAAAATCATTATTAAAACTGAAATTAAAACCATTAACCAAAGACAATTAAAAATGAACCTAAGTATATTTAAAGTTGGTGACATAATCATAGAAATTCAGTCATTTTAAAACTGGTGTCTGACTGTACATCTATCTAAAAAACTCTAAGCTGTACTCTATATCATCAGTAATTAATATTTGGATGGTTATTTTGAAATTATTAAAAATATACCATATTCAGGGCTGGGGATTTAGCTCAGCGGTGTAAGTGCCTGCTGGGCAAGGGCAAGGTCTTGAGTTTGATCCCCAGTATCCAAAAAAAAATACATATATATATATTCCACATTCAAATTTGTAATTATGTTAACACCCTCAGGAATCAAGCATGTCAGCATAAAAGAAAGATTTAAACACAAAAAGAAATTCAATGAGAACTGTTACTTTCATGTTAAATTGGAAAAACTACTATGAATTTATGATTTATTTTTCTTTCAAAATATATGTATTATATAGCTCTCTGACCTGCAGTATGAGTAAAACTAAAAGACATCCTAGCAACAATGAAAGCCCATTCAAATTGTGGTCTCTGTAGAAAAATGGTCAATTGCAGCCTTAAAGCAATAAATCTGTTTAAGAAGATCCAGGAAGGTTTTTCTTTTGGTGCTAGGTATTAAACCCAGAACCTCTCAAATGTTAAGCGTGTGCTCTACCTCTGATCTATGCTCCAAGGCCCAAGTTTGAGACATCTTGTAACAGCAAGGATACTATCTGAAGAGAATTTCTGGCTCAAAGGTAAACATTTAAGCATCTAAAAGAGTAATAAATGGATTGGATTGTAACAAATGTACGAGCTTATATGCCACTAACATTCACTGGCTCCTTTTGGCAATTGCTAGAACACTTAACTCATTAGTCTGAAACTGCAGAATGAAAGAAAAAGAACTAAGACTTTATACCCTGCCTTTCTATTCAGACATTCAAACTGTATTTTAGCATAAACAAACAGTTAATGAGGGCAAGTTCTCTCTTTCTATCTACCTGTCTATCTGTCTATGAATTCTGGCCAATAAATGCAGATAGAATGATAGGATTTTAGAAATCATCATTTTTCAATTCCTAATGAAATGGTGGATATAATCAATGATCAATAATAACTGTTATAATTATGAGGGAAAAAGTTATGGGAATCTTTATAATGGCTGGTTTAGGCTAACACTAGCTGAAACCAATGATCAATTTTAAATCTTTTTTTTTTAAATTTTTAAATTTTTTTTAGAGACAGGGTCTCACTATATTGCCCAGGCTGGAGTGCAGTGGCTATTCACAGGCGCGATCCCACTACTGATCAGCACGGGAGTTTTGACCTCCTCCATTTCCGACCTTAGCCAGTTCACCCCTCCTTAGGCAACCTGGTGGTCTCCTGGCTCCCGGGAGGTCACCATATTGATGCCAAACTTAGTGCGGACACCCGATCGGCATAGCGCACTGCAGCCCAGAACTCCTGGACTCAAGCGATCCTCCCACCTCAGCCTCCCAAGTAGCTGGGACTACAGGTGCGCGCCACCATGCCCGGCAATTTTAAATCTTTTAAAATGGGGCAATTTGACATCATATGCTTTCTTATATGATTCTGTAGGAGGTATGCAGTATCATTTATGATATATTCTTGTGTCAGTGTGTATTTTGAGAACAATTCTTGCTATGTAGTTTAGGTTGGTCTTGAACTCACTATGTAGCCCATGCTGGCCTGGAATTTGCAGCTATTCTCCTACCTCAGTCTCCATGTTAGGATTCTAGGCATCTGCCACCATAGTCAGTATCTATGGTATATTCTTTTTTTTTTTTTTTTTTTTTTGTCTTTTTCATTTTTATCGGTACCGGGGATTGAACTCACGACCACCTGCTTGCAAGGCAGGTGCTTATGCCACTGAGCTAAATCCCCAGCCCCTATCGTATATTCTTATAAAATAATTTCTTAAAGAGAAAAAGAAAAATGAACCTGCATGTAATCAAGTAGTACACAGAGGCCTTTTTAGTTAGAGGGTATAGGGCAGTATAAAAAATACTACCACAAGGCAGCAAATATACAAATGCATTATGCAGCACATTTTTTTAAGGCAAATGACTAAAACTTTAAAACTAAAAGACAAAGAAGTTTAAAGGGGGAGAAAAGAAGAAATAGTAGAATTACAAAAGAATGAAGAGACATTAACGAAGCAATTTATAGACTTTCTCTGGATCCTAATTCAAACATAAAAAAATATTCTAATTGATAGGGGCAGTATAAATACAACATGGATATTAGACAATATAAGAAACTCAGTTATACTGGATATAGTGGAATTGTGATTATATTAAAAAATAATCCTCATCTGTTGGACACACTGCCAAATGTATCATGTTGTTTGATTTACTCATTAAAACGAACATATTTAAATATAATACATTTTGAGTATTTATTCAAATAATGATATCACACTAGCTAACTGAATCTTGTTTGAATTCATTTCTTTCTTATAAATGGACTCAAGAAAGGAACTTCAACAAGCTTTGTTGAGACTGAGAAACTTAGCCTAGGAGGAGGCATGCTCCCCACCAAAACTGCTTGAGTTCAGTCTGGTGTGGCAATCAAGCAGTCAGTGGTCAACAGTAAGCCTGTCTGATTTCTTCTCCTGGAAGCGAGATGGTATGGATCCCCGTCTGAGAATTATGCTGCCCTGGTCAGTAGACTCTTGAGACACTGCCACATCCCATGGAGCTTCATGTGGGAAATGTTCTGATTGTGTGCTTTTCAGACAACAATTTGAGGTGGTAAAGCTGACAGTCTTATTTGAAGACCTCACTGAAATGTTCTATTCATTCTTAAGAAATATTTTTGTTAAAGGGATCACCCACAACTCTTGAGATAACAGGGACCATGAAGTCCTAGGCAGCAGCTAGCTCTAAGGAGTTACTAATAAAACAAAAAAAAATTTTGGGGGGGTATGGGGGACTGAACTCATGACCTTATGCTTGTCTGGGCAGGTGCTTATGCCGCTGAGCTAAATCCCAAGCCCCAAAACAAACCTTTCCAACAACAATACTACAAATGTTAATGAGAAGATATGGATTACTGAGTACTTACCAGCCCCAAGCACTGTTCTAAGTGTTTTTCACCTACTGTCATACTGAATCCTCTATATTCCTAGGGTTCCTACTTGACAGATGTGGCAACTGAGATCCAGTGGAGTTAATTAACTTGGCCAGTGTCATGCAGCTGCTGTGTGGCCTAGTTGAGATCATACTAGGAAAAACTTAGAGACATCTTCAGGTAGATATTCAAAGATGGTGCTTGCCTGGCAAGATGGAGCTCAGATGGAGTCCTGTCAGCTCTTCCTCAGGGAATACTTACTGCATTCTCAGGATGGAAGATGTATGAGGCTGGAGAATTGTCAACAATGATCACTTTGCTCAGCTCCCGTCCCAAGCGACTAAGGTCCTTGACATAGTTCCCGCGATGGAAAACACAGGATTCTCTGAAGAGTCGGGCCCGGAACACACCCCAGCGGTCGAGGAGGTCAGCGACAGGGTCTGCATACTGGACAGGGAGAACAATGACGGCCAGGCATCTAACCTACTACAGCAAGAGCCACACAAATTTTTTTTTTGTCTTTTTCCTTTTTATCGGTACCAGGGATCGAACTCATGACTGCTTGCTTGCAAGGCAGGTGCTTATGCTGCTGAGCTAAATCCCCAGCCCCACAAATTTTTTAAAAAAAGGACTTAACTATCATGTATTTTAGGATCCTAGTTATAATCCATATATGTAAGAATATACATTCCATTCTATTCCATGTATAGAATCTTTCATTTCCCTAACATCTAATTCATTAGAATTTTTTTGTCAGTTTCATCCCCCAAAATATCCTGTCTCTCTAGCTCTACTGCCCAGTGTGAGGGCAGGTCTCCAGTCTCCAGCCTGAGAGCTTCCCTTTTCCTGCTGGGCCTCTTCAGTCCCTTTAGCTCAAAGCTGTCAGGGTAGTCACAATCACATCACTTCCCTGCTTAAAACTCTTCACTGTCTACTCATTGCACTTGGAGTAGGGCTCACTTTTCTCACTGCCATGTCCTGCGAACCTGAGGAATCATGAGGTGCTCATGATCCTGTCAGGGAGGTGGAGGACATCTGCAGCAGTACTCGGAAGGCCAGCAGGGGAACACAGCAGCTGAGTCCATGGGAAAGTCCTTTCCTCCTAAGGACATCCTGAGGGAGGCAGAGTCCTGCCACAGTTGTACTTCCTACTGACCAAGTAGGACGAGTGCTTGGTCACAAGATCCATATGGACAGGAGGCTTGCTCTGGACAGGGAAAGATGATTAATTGACTTAGTGTTGGTGACATTCATCTTTCAGAGAAGTACTTGATACTCCAACCAAAGAGATGAATGTGAAGAAATGGCCTGAGGAGTGCAGGGACTCTGCCTCTTTTGCTCCCTGCTGAATTCCTAATGCCTAGTTCCATCTTAAAACAGTAGGTATTAAGTTAACATCTGCTGGCAGTGGGATGATGAGACATATGAAAAGGAAGCAGACAATCAAGGGATCTGACTGTCAGTGTGGGGTTCCTGGGTAGTGGGTAAGGAAGCTCACTGCACCAGTGCTGTTGGGAACTGAGCTGAACCCAGATTCTAGAGCAGGAGGAGCAGGAGGAGTTACCACCCAACAGCACAACATAGCATCAGGGAGGAAATGGGCTGGGAGTCTGTGATTTGGATCTGACTTGGCTCAGCCAGGCTGGAATAACAGTGAGAAGCAGGCTGGAGTAACAGATGGAGGGGCAGGTGGGAGCAGTGCAGGAAGAGAAACCCAACAAAGAGTGAACACCTGGAATAATGCCAAGGAAATGTGTTTTGAATTTTGCCAAATCAAAGACAATTCTCAGTCTATTGCACTGGTGCCATCTTGCAGTTGATTATCTCTTTGGTTATTACTTAAGAATCCTCAGCACCCCAAAGCACTTTGAGAAGAGCCTTCAAAGCTGTAGATATAATTCATCTTGGTACCACTTATCTAAAGATTACCCACTGGGAAGACTACATTTTCCTTGAGGCCTCACTCTCTTTTTTGTATTCAAAATAAGGCCCAGGCTTTGGATTCCCTCCTCAGCAGTGCATGGTCTGCAGCCTGGTGTTGATACTGACACGATGCTTTACAGTAGGCTCTCTATGGACCTAGCATAGAATGCCCACTCAACAAACAATTGTGCCTGGGACTCCAACACACAGAGAAGTTGCATGGTTCCTTGGAACAGGTCTCAACACAAGACAATGCTTAACCGAGGCCTCACAAAACTCATCCTGGGGGCCACTCAAGAGTTCCCGAGGTGCCCACAGAAACAATGGTGGTGCCACCCTTAAGTGGAAGCTGTTAGCCCCATGTTTGGCAGACAGTCATGGCAATGGCTTTGGAAGAGGAACAAGACCTGCTTTGCCCACTATGAACACAGCATGGCACCTTGTTACACCTGTGAAGGGGGAGATTAAATTTTATTAGGAGGCCTAGGAATTTGCCAGTTTCCTTAAACAGTGGGAGAGGACAAAAGCTCACTGTACTTGGCCAGTGTAGACTCTGGGTCAGAAATTCACATTAAGATATGAAACCAAAACATATCTGAACAATTTTATCTCTACTAACATTTATGATAGTAATACTGAACATTAGGTGCACTTATTCTCTGACAGTGCCTAGCATGGTACATGCAACTTGGCTCAGTGAGTATCTGTTGAGTAAAACTGAGGTGTTATGCTAAACTTTTTCCATGTGCTATTTCATTTAATCAAACTCTATGAGAAGTGAGAATTACCCCCACTTACAGAAGAAACAGGTGCCAGAAATGACTCACCTGAGATTACACAGCAACTTACGTACGGTAGAATCAGTACTCTCCTCAGCCTATGACTGGGAAATTCTTGACAAATGTCTCTCACTTGTTCTTCCCACAAATCTGTGTAAGCTAACCCCAAAGATACAGGAGCCTCCAGCATCTTGTTACTCATTAGTGGATGAGAGAGGTCTTCTGTGCTTAAGGCAGTTAGCCATCCTTCTGTGGTCACATTAGACATTTCTATGATTTCCTTGTCTGTAGCAAGTAAGTTCAAAACTTCCATGTACAACAACTTCACAGAACATTTGTTCTAAGTGCTCCCTGTCACCATAGTAACCTGAAGCCTTTCAGACTGGCAGTGTGCACATAGTCTGCATCCATCCCATCTGGGGTGGAAACCTGTCACCATAATAACAGCTTCCCCCACCTTAACAAAGAGCTCTTGACAATTCGGGGGTAGCAGCAGAGGGACTGAGATGCCAGGCTGGAAGTCTGCAGCAGGGAGCAGGACGCACCTTAGCCAAGCTGGCAGTAAAGAGCACACACTCGAAGAGCTGTCCCATCCTCTGTAGGAACTCATCCACATGTGGCCGCTTCAGCACATACACCTGAAAACGGTAAAAACAGCAAGCTGATCAGGCATGGCAGTTGCTGGAGATCCCTGGGCCCAAATGCCCACTATAGGAAGAAATGCTAGAAAAGTCTCCACTTCTTACTACAGAGTCTGTGTCCAGACTGTATGGTCAGATACAATACTCCTTAGATCACACTCCAGGTATGAGGTCAGTGCAGATGACCCTCCCGAAAGAGAAAGAAAAGCTGAATGTGGGATGGAGGGTCTTGGGAATTTCGAGAGTCAGTGAGTGGAATGGTTGTGCCATGTTTATGTGAAACCACTCAATCATTTGCACATGTGTTTCTTGGCACCTTGTGTGGTTTTTGTAAAACTACGGTTTGGGTGCTGTCCTTTTGGCGGTTTGTCCCTGGCTGACTTCCCAGGAGGTCTGGTATTGCTCCACCTGTCACCTGCTCTGAATGGTATTTCCTGCTCACCAGAAGCCCTGGGGTTAAAAAAAGCACAGGCCTTGTGAAGCTGCAAAAAGGTCTTCTTGTTAGCTGGGGAAGACATGTACTTGACACCATAAAAGTTACTGTACTAGGGCTATGTATGGACATTTCAGGGAATGTGAAACCAGTCTTCTCCTGAGACCTAGAAACGAGCCGTCAGCAGGGGTCTGTGAGCAGAAAGGGACAGAGTGCCTCTTCTAGAAGGCTGGACTCCGTGTACATTTTTGACCAGGTCAGGTAAAGCCAGTAGGGCAATAAAGCACACACATGGGTTCCTGACTACAGAGCCTGAAGAAATGTGAGGAGATTGAGAGATGGGCGAGAAAGCAAAGTTGGTCAGAGAACAGAGGAAACAGAATGAAGCAGGAACCAATTAAAGCCTGAATAAATTCCATCTAAAATTAGTCACTTCACAAAAATAAATTACTCTTTAAAATTGAATTCAATGTATTGAGCTGCAGCTCTATGCTCAGCCTGACGCAGTTACACAGATGAGTCAAACATAGGCCTTGCCCTTGAAGGGCTCACAGTCTAGAGCAGACATATGCAAAAATATGTAGAAATGAACATGGCATAATGAAAATAGTATGAGGATAAATTGAAGATAATTAACTTCCCTTTCAAGGGGAGAAAATACAGAAGGTAACATTGGACCTCAAAGGATGAGTATGATTTCATCAGGTCAATAAGGATGAAAAGAGGCAAGCCTCTAACAAGAGGAAAGTACCAGCTTGGGACTTGGAGGTCTAAGACCATCTGACACATTAGACAATAACCAAAGCCAGCCATCTGAGGAAATGAAAGAAGACGGGGAGGTGGGGGACTTTAAGAGGAAGTGGCTAAAGACTGGGCATACTGCAGTGAACACATACAGGGCCTCAATGGCAGATGGAGCAGGTTGGATAAACTGCATAAGTAGTAGAAGGGTAATACCGGGGCATGGTCCAGACCACATGGAAGGACAGGCTCCTGGCAGAGGAATTCTTCATGGTAATACTTTCAACAAGCCAGAAACAGGCACTAAGAAGGATCATACCTATGGGGAACTCATGACTAGCCAAAAGAGTGGGGTACACATGGGTCTTTAGCTGAGTGAGGGTGGAGGGAGGGGCAAGGGGGATGGATGATCTACAATGGGTGTCAACATGGTTTGAGGTGCTGGGAGGCTTGGATGCAGGGCAGAGGGCAGGGCTTGTGGTTACAGGGGCTCTTAGCTCCTTCTTTGCCAATGAGAATTCTTGGTGCTGGTGAGAGTGAAGGGGTCAAGCCTGTGCTCCTGTGTTCCCAGGGGAATTATTTCAAAAGCAAGCTGTGCTACATGCAAAGGACAAAAGACTGGTGTTGGTGCCTCTAGCAGAGAGGAGGGTCCTGGGCCCGGATGCCGGCGTCCAGGCACGCGTCCCCGTGCAAGTAACCAAGAATAGGCCCGTTGGGACCTGCACAGCCTATCCTGGATTACTTGAACGAGGCCACGGCCTTCGCCAGGGCCTTAGTCCTCCTGCTCTTGGTGCCTGTGGCTTCCTTCCCTCAGGAGGGTTTCGACTCTGAGGAGTTCATTACCAAGTCAATCAAATCACAATCAAAGGGAGGCTTGGAGAGCTGGGGTGGCTCCTGCAGGCAGGTTATGCTCACAGCTACATGGTTTGAAGGATTAATTTCTCTCTTAATCTTGCCATACCATTGGGCAGCTCACCTCTGTCTCCTCAAAAGCACTCTGTAACATGAGCCAAAGTAATACATGCAGGAGCCTTAACTGGTTCTCAGATGCTGACTTAATTCAGTTGATACTTTCGTAAGTGTTAAATGCCCAGGTACTTGCAGTAATGGCTCTGTGATGGCTTTTAAAAGGATGAAGTGTGGAGGTGTTATGGATAAAGTTGTTTCCCAGGGACTGCTTTCTGGCAGGATCCCTGGAGAACAGGGCAGAAAGCAAGGATGGGCAGGGGAGAGAGAGAGAGAGAGGACCTGAGTACTGGCAACAGAATCCTGGGCCAGAAGGCAGCAGACTGGCATTTTCATTTTAATTCTTCCCACTGTATGACCCTGAGCCAACTCTTTCTTGGGTTGAGCTTCAGTTTCTTTATCTGGGCAGTGAGGTGACTAGACCATCTGATATCCAAGGCTGAGACAGTTCTAAACCCCTGAACTTGAGAGCCAAAGACTATTGACATTACTGAGGAAAGACGTTTTGCTGTGGCCCAAGTATCAAGAGAGGTTTTCCTTCTTGAGCTATGAGGGCAGTTACTTTCCCTTTAAGACCTTGGAGTTGACAAGAAACTGGTGAGATCATTCCTGTATAAAACCTGACAAATGCTACTTCCCCAATCTCCAAGGCTAATTTTCCTACAATGTTTCCAGTATGTTCATAAATATAGTTATTTATGGAAGCGTTTCATGCAGGAAAAATCAGAAAGAACAAAGATGATGCATGTCAGTTGACTATGGCATATTTATTCATAATCTGTTGATCTAAAAGTTCATTACCCCCCCCCCCCCCACTTTCCTTTGGGGTTATTTGCTAATGACTTCACTGGAGAAAACCATGCAGTATTGCTAAGATTAGTCTGGAACAGTTGGCATTAGGAATGGACACCTTTTCCCAAGAATCCACCATGAGAGAAGGACTTGTGGCATTTTCCTGATGCCTGCTAGAAGAGCAGCTGGAAAGCAACTACATGAGGAAGTTAATTAGAGCACCAAGCTAAATCAGTCAGGAATACAGAAACTTCTGAAAGAATGCATTAAATCAAACAACTATTTAAACTTGCAACCAAATCTAATATTTATGAAGATATAGTTTTACTTATAAACTCAGTATAAAACAAATTCAAAGGAGTGGGAGAAAAGAAAAATCATTGTATTGATTATGAACAATTTGTCTCTTTTTAACTAAAACTATCATTGAAATGGGAATTTTGAAGTGGTATTCACAGGAAATATAACTATTAAAAATTCCCATTGCAAGCTGGGTGGTACAGGCCGGTGATCCCAGCTCTTGGGAGTCAAGAGGCAGGAGGGTCACCATTAGTTCACCACAGCCTGGGGAACATAGTGAGTTCAAGGCTAGCATGATCTACATGATGAGACCCTGTCTTGAAAAAACAAACAAATAAACAAACAAAAAATGTTCATTGCAACTCAAATTTTGTTTTGATTGCTTACCTGATGTATAGTTCCATCGATTTCAACCGGAACAATAAAATCAGCATTGCTAATAGGCTAAAGAGAAAAGAAATTACAATTAATACATCTGAAAGAAAAAGATAAAGTTGGTAATTTTAGCAACGAAAAGACTTGCCTAGATCCATGTTTGGATAATTTGAAAAAATAATTCAGGAGAAGGAGGGTTGAAGCATGCCTGAGTTCCCTGACATAAGCACAAGCAGGAAAATACTTGTTTTCTCTCCTGAATGGTCCAACTCTTTTTTTTTTTTTTTTTTTTTTTTTTTGGCCTTTTCATTTTTACCGGTACCAGGGATCGAACTCATGACTGCCTGCTTGCAAGGCAGGCACTTATACCACTGAGCTAAATCCCCAGCCCCTGAATGGTCTTGATCACCTGCCTGCCTCAATCACAAAAGGTGGCAGTCGTGGAGAGAATAGGGTTAGAAACTCTCTCTTTTCCAGAGCCCTGACAGGATGAGCCACCAGGGGGAGGTGAGAGCAGAATGGCCAGCAGCCAACACTCCTGGGAAGACAGGCCGGAATTTGGCCCCTCGGTGTGGGCATGGATCCACAGCAGATCCAAATACACATGCAGTGAAGCTGGAGCCCACAGGGTTCCATCTGGGGTAGGCTTTTCTTCTCTCTGGTCTTTAGTATTTCCTCTCTTTCACAGTTATCATAAAGAGCTGATGAGTGCCTAAGGCTCCATCTGGTCCTGAAAATCAGTCATCTTAGGCCCTGACTAGGAGCCTGGTACCACCTCCTTCTCCCCTGAGGTTGGGGTGGGGAAGGGAACCAGTTCTCTCTCAGTTATTCTGCTCTAAGGAACATTACAGCACATTTTCTTTCCTTCCTTTTTTTTAAAAAAAAAATATGTGTTGAGGAATAGACTTTACATTGAATTCTAAATGGAATTCCACAAGGTAGTAGAAAATCACTTAAATGAACAGACTTCACAAATAATCAGCCTGAAAACTTTTAGGACAAGAGGAGAGACAGGGGAGGGGAAGGTACATGTGGCAGTCACTGGAGAGGTAGTCTTCTTTTGGGAACTTCGAAGTCTGGTCAGACTTTGAACTGGAATCTGTGTTACTCTGCATATAAACATTCTTCTTTGATATGTAAACTCAAAAAATGTGGAAAATGCTAGGGTTTAAAGGCATTACTAAACAATCAGTTGTAAGAGTGCTGCAGAGGTTTAAAATTATAATTAATTTACTGAAGACTGGAAGGCCAAGGATGGGCTCGATATTTTATAGTTTTACAACTGAATTATAAAATTATGCTAAAGAAAAAAATGATGGAAGAAACTTTCACAGAGCACTGAATTGCAAAATAATACTCTACAAAATATACACCCGTTACCCAGTTTCCAACAAGTACTGTTCTTAACCTCACACGCTGTTGTAAAGGAGGACATCCTAAAGGCAGAGTAAGGCAGGGTTCTTAACCTGGGGGGCCCATAAGCCTGTATTTCATACAGTTGTACATGTTCAGGGGGTGGGGGTTCACAGCTTTCAAATTCTCAGAAGGTTGTGAAATGCCCAGAACGTTAAATACCATACACTAGAGAATATTCTGCTTGCAAATGCAGGCAGGTTAGGGAAGGGAAGAAATGAAGAAACACTGTTTATTGCTGTGGAGCCAAACCCTCTGTAACCTCAGGCAGTCTGGCCAGCATTACCTACACTCCCAGAGCTACTTGGGAGGATACTCTCTACAGTGCAATAGCAACTGATGCTTGAATGGCTTTGCCCCAAGAGAACTAGAAAAAAGCCCAAACAACTTGCCCATGAGGAAAAAATGCTTCCTATGTTGTCCAGAGATGAGCTGGGATATAAGACCACTGTAGCCTCAGGTCCAACAGTGGAAGGGCCCAGCCAAAGGAGTGCTGGGGAATGGAGAGGTCCCTGCATGCTCCAGGTTCAGAATGAGGTCAGTTTTCACTGCTACTGTCAGTGTTACTTCTCCTCCATTTTCCCAAAGGACTCAAAGACAACCTCCTGGCTTTGTCCTGTCAAAGAATGTCTCTGTTCAATGAGAAGTAGGCACAAAGAAGGATGTTTCTGGCAGGAGGTTGCTCAGGCAAATCTGATGGGTTTTCTGCTTGAATCATACAACCTGCCAGGAATGACAAGGGTTCATATGAGACACACAGCCCATCACAGATGGTGCCTTTCATGTCTCTCAGAAAAGCAAGGGGAATCCCAGGCTGGGGATAAAAGAGGAATACAGTAAAACTGGTTAACAATAAATAGTAGAGCAGTTCCATTGCCAAAAATAACTCAGAAACAGGAGCAGGGTCTTAAACATTTGCTGCTTCTCCACAACTCAGCAACACCTGATTCCCAAACTTTTTCATCATTTGCCTCTTTTAAACTATTCTACTTTTTAAAAAATGATAGCCATTTCTTAACAGTGTAGCAGCCACTGTTCCCACATGGAGACCCTTGGGTAACTTGTCATTTTTACTAGGGAGATGGACAGTGGGAAAGGGATAAGAAAGACTGATGCTCATTTTGACACTGCTGCAGCTTTGTGCCCTTCATTCAGGGAAGTATGAAAGTGGGCACTCACTCAGCTGTGAAGCATAAAAAGCCCACAGCGATCACTTCAACATGAACATAATCAGAAGACATGGCTGAACCTGTTCAGATGTGACCAACTACAGGAGACTTCTTTAGAGTTGCACATCTTTAAAACTATCTGGGAATATATCCAGGATAGTAAGGAGCCTGACAATTTTCAAGAGTGCTTTTTTGTCCCTCTCAATAAAACAAAAGGTACCATGATTACCTTGATAAATATGTCCTGGGACACAATGATATCTGTGTAACTGCAAAGTATTTCTAGAGGGTTTAGTGTTGGAAAACTCAACCCTCATAAGTAAAACAAGGTCTCAGTGATATTGCCCCCCCCCCCCAGCATTTTCTTTTCCAAACTAAAATGTTAATATTCAACTATTTTAGTTAATACTGACCCGGGTTAAGCAGCTATTACTGGAATTACTTTATGAAGACTGAAGTCATACTAACAACCAGGAGATTTTTTTTTTTTTTTTTTTGAGACAATATTTCTATGTAGTTCAGACTGGCCTTGAACTCATAAGGTAATCCAGGCTGGCCTTAAATTCAAAGTTATCTTCTTGCTTTTGCCTATGGAACAATGGGATTACAGGTGTGTTCCACCATACCTTCTTTTTATTTTTTCTTTTCAATACAATTGTTATCAAATCACAGAGCCCACCGAGTGCTTTTTATGCTGATTTACCTTAAATGAACTGTGCACCAGTGTTTCATCTAAATCAATGACCACACATTTCTTTCCATAGTCAAGCACCGTCACCTCTGGAAGGAGGTATTTAGCTGGTGGCTAAAGAAGGAAAAAAATATTATTAACTCTGTGAAAAAGACAAGTCTCCTATCATTATATTTCATTATGTTAATGGGGGTATAAATGAAAGCAAACATTTAAATACCTGATAAAGTATATCAAATAATCTTTATTAAGAACAATAGTAATATGTAGCTTGCAACTGAAGTTTTACCAAACCATTAGGAGATTGACTACTATGTAGGCTTTTACACTAGACAAAACTGAATTTCACTAACAACTCTTACATTTTCTTGGCCATAAGCCAAGATAATAATACCTACCATGAAAAGTTGTTATAATGGCAGTGAACACCCAGCATTTGGACTGGCACATAGAGAGTGTCAGTTGTTATTATGAAAATGGATTACACAAGAATGAATGCTTAATAGCTAATCTGACTATGAGGCCTATTTCCTGGGGTTGTATTTTATCTCAAATTTTCTCTGGTATGTAAATGTATTTTAGTGTCATGTGTTTTTTTCTTAGTGCCTGACATTTTCAAACACTTGAAGAGAAACTGCAGATATATCAACAAAATCAAACCTAAAAGTTACCCTAAACCACACAAACAGAAATAAAACTGGTCAAAGTACAGTGCCTACCTTATATTAGATTCCTGCTGAATCTAATACTAAATGAATGAGCACTTTTACTTTCTGGATTCTGTGTCTCTGAAAGTTATATTGTGCTTTAACCAGAATATCCAATTACATGTTTTTGGAGTAACTACTTCTGATTTTGTGATGGAAAAGTCATAAAGAGTTAATACAATGCTAGGTATTTTCAGCCAGCCTTATTCAGTTTTAGAATACTTCTTTGGGTTTTACCTCACTCTAGAAATGGTTTGAAATATTTTAGTTTATTGTGTGGTATATTCAGTGTTAACAATTAATTTTCTATCCAACAAGGTGAAACTCTGCTTAATATCTGACAAAATACAAAACACAAGAAAATGTTCCTGGCCACTGAAGAATAGACAATTTGTTTATCAAGTAGGACAAGAAAAACATGAAATCAAGAAGTATTTTCTCTCAAGTGGCAGGCTCCTCTTTTTATTTTTCCTTTAAACTGAACATTAGTCAATAATCAAAGATTAATTTTGGACTTTAACTGATTCAACAGTGAACATAGACAGGCAGTGGACAGTTTAGGTAAATTTGCAAGTGCAATGAACACCCAGGCAGAGAGGGGCTGGCTGTCCAAGAAGAGACTACGTGTAAGGAACAACACTCAAACTCTAGAAGGTCTCCCTCTAATAAGTATGTGTGCTTCATTCTTTTCTAATACCTCCGGAAGAAGAAACCCTTAAGGTCTCCAAGTCCCATAGCTCTAACTAACGTGCCTCCCTGATGCTACAGCACTTGCAAGGGAGGTAAGATGTGCGTTGGAGACTAGAATGCAATTTGGGGATGTAAACGAGTTTCTCCATTAATAAACTAGTAAATCAGTAGGTTAGTTTTGATAAAATTAAAATAAATTTGCAAGAAGTTTATATCAAAAACTGTTTTAAAAGTAAGAGCATTATCAGCTCTTAAGGAAACATAACAGAGAACTGTATGTGATCAGCATAAAATTTTAAATTCTTATTAAACAATTATGTAAGAAAAACACATTTTCATGGTGAAAAATACAGATATGGAAGAATAAAACATAATTATTTCTTTTTCTATGCCCCTCTTTTTTAGTCTAGCTATCTTTATGCAGTTCTTCCCCTCTGTTTATGTACTACTGAAACATTTTAATTTGGTAATTTAACTGCTAGCCTAGAAGACTTATCTCTAGCATAAAAAATCTGCCCAAAGCATGTCATTTATTTTTTAAGCTCTAGAATAAAAATTACTTTCTTAGCATCATTAAAGCACACTTTATATTCTTTTATTTAAAAGTAAGGGGGAAATATTCTCATGTACTATTGAAGGAAAAAAAAAAGACTGGGAAGGATGTGAATTTTACGAGGGAATTTATTGATTTTGTATTTGTGCAACAGAGAAGGAGAACAGGCTGGAGGCCAACGGGCAGGGAAGGGGGTCTATTAATTCCCTAACTGTTTCTCAAATGCATGCAGCTTCTCTGACAGCGTATCATTAGATTAATGTAAATTCCTCAGTCTAAGTGGTAAAAGTTTTGCTGGACAGCCATGTGCTGGGAAATGCAAGGATGCTATAAAATTATAATAGTACTTTATCATTTCAATTGATTGCTCTGGTAATGCTTGAATCATTAACTTAAAAAATGTTCTCAATCAAATTTTCTAAATCTACAATTAAAGCTTAAGAATAAGAGAAATGTAATTATGACCTAGAAGGGCCTCTTAAAATGTAAAGTCATTTACTCGAATGCACACAGGAAACATCATACTGAGTAGGGAAGCTGAAATCTATGGCAAATGAGGGGAGAGAAGACCATGGCTTGCCACCAAAGAATTGAAAATGGTATTCACCATACATTTCTTCCTGGGATAATCTGAAATTTATCCCTGGCAATAACCTGGCAACTGTGAATGCTTCACACTAAAGTTATCTGTCCCACAAACCTTCCTAAACCTTAAAGATTTAGTACCTTATTTTGGTACATATAAGGTTATTATTTTCTTACTGAAGATTTTTCAGGATCGGGGTTTGCACACTGTAGCTCCCCAAGCCATGAGTTCAGGCACACAACCAGAGCCTAATGAGGGAAACTCCATACTGTTTTTAACTGGAACAGTTCCTCTCTTCTATGCTCTTCATAATGTTTTTGTGGAATAAAGTATATTCCTGCTTTATTACAAGGCTTAGGCAAGTAGCATAGAAACCCACCTGTTAGAACAAATTCCTTTCCCTTAGTATTTTTATGGCTCAATTACATTACCGACACTGAGTTTGTGAGCACCAACATAGTACGTAACTTCAGTGAGTGTAGGAACAGCTTCTGTGGGATTTCTTATTTAAACATCAGCCTTTGGATGATGAACACATCTCAAGTCATGACCACTTGAACTCTGGTGGTGTCTTAGCTTTCTATCTTGTTATCTTTTCCTTACCCTTCAATATCTGATCTTTGCCTAGCAGCCCATGCATTTCTTAAGAAGGAAGACCCAAAATCCCAGTACACAGGTCAGAAACAAATGCTGCTAACTAGAACTTTCAACAGTCCAGGAAAAGAATCATTTTCAATACTTATGTCAAAGAGGTGCTGGTGCTCAATAAATGGTGCTACAGTAAAGGAGTACCACTTGAGAAAAGGAAAAATGCTGGGCTACTATTTCAAGCCTTCCATGAACTGCATTCTTAGATCAAAGATTTATGTTTAATAATGAAAAAAACCAAAATATTGGAAGAAAAATGGGTCATACCTGTACAGTGGGGAGCTCTTTCTAAGCATAAAATCTAGGAGCCATAAAGCATGAAATTAATATATTTGCTCACATAAAATTAAAATTTCTTCGTGACCAAAATGATTATGCGCAAAAAGCAAAGATAAATAATAAATGGGAGGGGCCACTAATTTTCTTAACATTTAAAAAGATAAACACTAAAAAATGTACATGAAGAGGGCAGAAGAAAAAGGTGTGGTCAACGAGTTTGTGAAGAACAGTTGATATTCGTGAAGAAACGCAAATTCAAAGCAGTAAGTTCATATCATTCTTTACTTCTGGATAGCAAAGATTAAGACATTTGATAAATGCTTTCAGTGAGGGAATGGGGGAATCTTGTAGGCTTTTCATTAAGCATAGGTCTTTGGATGCCAATTTAGCTTTGCAGTACCAACAATGTAGAATAGATTCCTTGACCTAGCATTTTTACAACTAGGATCTTATCACCTAAAACTATCACACAAGTACATATATATTAGTATAACAACATTTTTAAGAACAATATTTTGGAACAGCACAGAAGCAGAAATAAAGTAAATGCTATCAATGACATGTAAAATAAATGTACTAATGTTTGGAAAGATGTTCAAGTAATCTTGTTAAAAGCAACAAGCAATTTGCAAAATGGTGGGTGCAACATAATCTCATTTGTGTCAATGTTTGAATTTGCAAATTTTTCTGAAAAGGCAAAATATCAGAAGTAGTTATTCTAAGTAGTGAGAAAAAGTTGGAGAATTCTTTCCTTCTCTTTCAATATTTCAACATTTTAAAGTTAACCATGAGCTTGAATTATTTAGGAAAGAGTTTAAGATTAAGCCTATGCACACATGAATAGCATGTGGGTAAAAAAAAAAAAAAAGCAGAAGTGAGAAGCAGGGGGACAGGACTTTGGTTGGAGTTGCTCCAGGTATCTATAGTTCAGAGGCATCCTTCATCCTCAGGCCCTAGATAGGGTATTCACAGCATGGATAAGGCTGGTGGACCTGATTTAGCATGGATTTCTAGTCCTGCAGTGTAGCACTCCAAGCTATCAAGTACTTCAAGCACTGACCAGATCCTTTTCTGGTCCAAGGCCAGGACCACTCTGCTTTTGTGTCTTCGGGGCTTGGTAGGTAGATGCAGAACTTTCTGGGGATCTTAGGATTTGAATTCCAGCACTGAGCTGGCCTCAAATGAACTTGGGTTCAGTCCTACATACTAAGCAGCTAGTGGAGATTACACTATGCCTATCAGTAGAACTGATTTTCTGTAGGTTATCATTCAAAGATGAAATTAATTTGGTAAGGTCCAGCCTTTTTTGTAGATAGTCCTAAGAGTCATATGGCCTAATCCAGTGTCTCCCATATAGGCAATAGCAGTTTATTAATCTAACACAAATATATTATACAATGAACTTTCTTGTCTACTTTATTCTGGAATTCTGTATATAGCTAGATCTCAGTTTGTAGGAAAAGGGTCCATTTCCTCGGTGGGTTTATACTGGATGGCAAATGCTTTCATTTGGCACTTAATGGATGCCTGGATGGCTGTGAAGTAACTCTAAGAATTAACTCTATACAACTGCAGTGGTACTGAAGGAGAGGGATAAGAGTAAAGAAGATACTACCTGTAACTTGTTTAATACGTGTAATTCACTAACAGCCCAACCAAAAAAAATATGTATGTACTTCAAGAAAAGAAAAATGGTATTTTTTTCAAACAGATGGTGTTATTCTTGTACTGGAGACCCTCAAGGATGTCACATATCATAGAAAACCCACTACACTGCTGGCTTTTAGAGAAAAAACTGAATATGCATTGCAGCAATTTGAATGACCAAGCTTATCCAGGCAGACTATTTGCTGTACTAATAAATGTCTGAATGCTAATGGCCACCAGTATGAGTATTTTTCATAATTGTAGAGGCCAAAGGTAACTTGTACTAATTTCACAAAATCGCAATAAATTTAGTATTAACATTTATACAAATTTTTCTTTTTCTGAAGTGTGTCTATATTTACTTTTTGGTGGACTCTGTATATGAAACTACTTGTACCAAAGGTAAAAGAAAGTCTCCTGGTATAAGTCCCAATAGATACTGCCTTCAAACACTGGCTCAGATGCTACCTGTACTGCTTGACTAGTCGTTTTGATCTAAGCCAGTTCCCCCAACACAGCTCAGTCTCCAGGCATGCTGGTAGGACCATTATACAAACTCCTACAACCTACAAGTCAAGTAAAAGTTCTGAGAAAAATAAAATTCCCAAAATTGTTTTTGAGCTAGTTGTAAGTGGCACACACCACTGAAGTCTTAAAACCTATTCCTTTCAATGTAGGAATGCTGTGTTTCTTGGCTGTTCTAAAGTCCCAAGAAAGAAAAATAGTCTGATGGTATGGGTAGCTATTTTGAAGATACCAAGAGGCAGTATGGTAGCCACTGATTTCCTATTACCTTGTTCTGAAGTCCAGTATCACTTTCACTATTGTGTTTTGATTGGCTTTGTTCTTTTTAAAATTAAAAAAGAAAGATGATCAGATGTAAATCAGATAATCTGAATCATATTTATCACCTAAAATGTCAATTTATGGACCTACTACTGTTTGAAAGGTCTTGTTTGATGGACATCTCCACTGTTAGTTCCTTCAGAAGTCAGTCCCCAGCTGTTGCTGGCTGCATAGCCTCAAATTCACCTCTGCTGGTTGAGCAGAGGGAAGAGAAATGTTATAGTTTATACCTAAACATCCCCCAACAGCTTCATGTACTCATGGAGGGGACTTTTGTAAGGTGACGGGAATATATGCATGGCCTGGAAGGGTTTATTTCCTTTCCTAGCTCCTTCTTTCACTCACTCTATTTCCTTCCCACCATGGTCCTCCACTAGTTCTGCCCTGAAGCCAGCATACTAGGGATCTGAAATGTGAGCCAAAATAAACTCCTTTATTACAAGTGTCAGGTATTTTATTATAGAGATAAGGCAAGTAACTAAAAAGAAACTGTGGAGCCAGTGGAGAGTGGATTGCTGAGAAGACTAGTTCAATTTCTCTCCTAAATTCCAAGGCTGAAAACAGAAGTGCGGTGGTCCAGGAAGTGTCTAGCTGAGGCAGTTGCAGAACATTTGGCCTGTGGAGTGAGGCTGGCCCTACAATTTCAGGGAGGTTACTTAAGAACAATTTCCGATGTAAAAGCTACGGCCAAACTACTGATACCATTCGACAAGCAGGTCCTCAGTTTAATCTATTGAGACTGAATCTACTGCAAACAATTTTTGCCTGGGAAATCTATGGAGTTCTTCCTATGTACAGAGCTGGGGAAATGATGCTAAGGTGGGAAAGGGAAGTTCTATGTTACCTCAGCTTATTAAAATTTGGAGACCTTTCCCAGAGACAAAGGAAGAATTTGGTTAGTAAATGCAGTGCCTACTGTTCCTGAGAAAGGAAATCATCTCTGCGCAATTTCCTGCTCACAGTTTATAGTTTCGTTTTTCTAACAAAACAGAGCTGTTGATAACACATAATAAAACTCAACATAAGCAAGAACATTTTTTTAAAAAGTCTTTTTTACATTACTAGGCCCAAAGCCACAAATTCTATGAATGTTTCAATAAAAATTTGATAAATACATACACTTGGTATGGGAATAACCTGCCTCTGGTCACCCTGAGGAAAAAGAAAAAAAAATCATTGTCAGGTTTGAGGAAAAAGAGATCATATTCTTCAAAGAACCTCGTAAGCACACAATCACGTGACTTCCCATTCCTCATACCTTGGAGGTGTTTAACCCAGAGGAAGCCAAGGACCTTCCCACAGGTAGGACCCTAGGCTCCAGCCGCCTCCCCTTCTCCCCCGTCCCCATGGCACAGACTGGGCTCCTGAGGCTTGGTCCTTCTGACTTATTGAAGCAGTGTCTCCCTTATTCCCAGGAATTTAATCCTTCATTTACAAGTAAAAATGAAAACTCGTATTTTACTTCGACCCTTGATTCCCTCTAATAACAGATTTGTTTCTTGTTTTAAGCAAGTATTTCCCTGAAAAGGCTGTCAAGGGAGTCAAGCCTACCTTATTGTAAGGAATACCCCGGTCTTTCATGTCCACTTCAAAGGGAGAACAGGGAGGGGGCAGGACAAGGTCCCTCCCTGGCCACTGACATGGCAATGATTCTGAATACAGGAAAACAGAACCCATATTCATGGAGAGTATTAAGAAAATTCAGGCCAGTAAGTTCAGCTCTGAATTTCAGCCAATTTCTCATCTTCAAATGCTAGCCAAACCTGGCTGACAGAAACTTAATTTTTGTAACAATAAATGCTAATAAAACAAGTAAATTTTACTAATTTACTAAGTAAATTTTACTAAAATTTCTATATTGTACATTTCATGTTTTTCAGATGACTTGAAAGGAAGATACACTGCTTCATATCTCAATACTGAAAGATTAGTGAAAAGATATGTCCACTGTTACTAAGGAGGATGACCAGTGAGGAGTCTTATGTGAAGGTCAAACTTGATGGTTGGCAATGACAAATGGTTGATACTTGTCTGAGCTCTGCTGACTCTAAGAACCCTTAGCATCTATCTGTTTATTTCTGGGCTCTAGTTGAAGTCTCTTCTATGTAATGCAACTACTATTTCCTCTTGAACAGATCTTTAGGCTCTTTACTTGGTCAGGGGACTTGGGGCTTATTTTAAGAACTTCAGCTGCCTTCTGACAGGACAAAGCTATGTTCCTCTCTAACAGGAAAGTATAATATAATTAGGTCCAAGTTTCTAGGAACTTGTGCAGAATTTTAGAAGGTCCTAAACAACAATATATTACCAACATTTGGACCCAGGAGCAGATTACTGCCCATGGTGGATAAGATTTTAGCCAGAATCTCGCAAGCCTGTTGGCTTACTTTAGCATAGGATTTCTCAATCAGCATTAGTGACACTCTCTGGGTCAAATGAATGTGTTTGGACTGTCCTGTATACCGTAGGAGGTTTAGCAGCATCCTGGAACTCTACCTGCAGTAGGAGCCCCATGCCAGCAATGACAACCAAAGCTTTAGGCACTACCACTGGACAAATTCATCTCCAGTTGAGAAGCACTGTTTTAGTGAGAGACTGCAGACAGTCCTTACACGTATGTACCTTCAGATCATACCTCTGATACAGAGATGAACACATTCGTGATGACAGAGATCATAAGAGCCCAACTGCAGGGTAAGACAAAACACTGACAATGAGCAAGCATAGGTGCTTAACTACATAGATATTTGTGCTTGAAGATTACCTATGAGGTTTACATATGCATGTGTGTACACATGTGTGCACCCAAAGGGTGTGCATGTATTTTTGTGTTCTTTCATACTGTCCTTACTCTCCATCTTCCCATGGTATCTGTCACCTGGGTGATTGTTTCTCTTAGTCTCTGGAGGCTACTGGCCTGCAAATCCAGGCTGTGGCTATGGAGGTAACAATGATTGCTACCCTAGCCATTGCCACAGAAACAGTCTGAAGTGGAAAGGCTTCGAATTGTCATTTCTCAAGGGCAAAATAAATATGCAGGGTGGACAGGGTACCTTTCTCATTCTGTCCATGGTCCTCTCTAGTCCTCTAGCATGCTGAGTTTATAGTGAAGGATGCCTGGAACTTAGCAATAGAGTTAGGCTTAGGAACCGTTTTCATATGTACTGGGCCTGGGTTTTGTGTTCTGTAGATATTGGTCAAACTGAGTACAGGAGCAGAGGATCCTTCTCTGGGAATTAGCTATTTTTCTCCGACATGGGCTGTTCTTTTGGGGTGTGTCTCAATAGTCCAGGGTCATGCAAATAATGTATCACTCCCACTTGAGATTTAACTAAGTTAACTCACAGTTGACCTGATTCTTGAAAAAGCTTTTGTGATAAATTCATGAAAGAAATCCATGAATGAACATTAAGTCCAAGTGATCTCTCAGTTCTGCCAAACAAAGTGCCTTTAAGGGCACTTATCCCTGACAGAGATGGCTATGTACTCCAGGAAACCCTCTAGGGCATGATAGCATTTCCTTGTATCATTTTATCTAGGCAGATATTAAATAACTTTTACCATTGACTGCAGTGGTTCTTCTCTTTCTTTCCTTCTCTATCAGTCTAGGTTCCCTTCATTAATAGCGATTCCCTATGGGAACGATTTTTAAGTTCAGGGAGAGAAGGAGGACATAAGGAAAGCACATTGAGAGAGAAATCAGGATCTGGGGTTGGAAGTACAGATCACAGTGAGCTATCATCCTACGCACCTTACTGATGTATTTTCCATATCGATGTTTAATATCTACCAATGCCAAGTTATCTTTCATTATTTCAAAATTTTCTGGTTTTGACATTTTTTTATATGAACTGCACCTCCTTAATCAGAAGAACAGCACATTTTTTCTTAAATAAGAGCTAGTCTATCAAAATCTTTCAATGATCCTAATCAACTTTTGTAGTCTTTCAAGGTTGTTTATAAAAACAAGTCATCTGCAAATAAGACTTATTTTCTATCTTTTCCATATTTTTATCAATTGTCTCACTTTTTGGTTTTATCCACTACATCCTACCAATGATTTTCCTATGTTTGCTGTAACTTTTTAGAAGACAGATTTATTTCACATTTGTATTTGGCTGTACTGTTGATTTTATAAAAGCTTATGGGCTTATACCCTTTATATATTACACCTTGTTACACCTTGTATTGTAAAAATGTCCTTCTTTATCCTGTGTAATGGCTTCTGACCCTACTTCTGCTTGGTTTGATATTAACACTGCTTTTATATTAAAATTCTTGCCTCTTTCTGTTTGATCTGTCTTGAACATTTTGGCTATTTCTTTATTTTCTACTTTCCTTAATCACAGTATGTTAGAGGTTGTATCAGAAACTACCAGTTGCCTATACTGTTTACCAAGTGATTCTGGTTTTCCTTCTTTGCACATGGGGTTATACTTCTACAATGCCTTTGAAGTTAGGTGTCACATCCTCCAGCCAATAAAATAAGCTGAAACAAGGTATGTTATTTCTCAGTGAATACTTTAAGAACCTCATATGATTTATCACATTTCCCTTTTCCTGCTGTGACAATACTGGAAGAAAAGATAGAGCCTTGATCTAGGTCCATAAATCAGGATCAGAGTTATACTAATACAGTCGCTCTTTGGAATATGTAGCTACTGAGCACACAAAGTATAGCTAGTCCAAATTAAGATGTACTTTAAGTGTTAAACCCATATCCAATTTCAACATACTAGTAAGAAAAAAACCCAGATATTATGCCACTAATAATTTTCTATTAAACACTGAAATATATTAGATATAGTAGGTTAAATTATTAAAATTAATTTCACTTGTACTTAAAAATATTTTTAAAAATGTGGCCAGGAGAAAAGTTTAAGTTACTTATATGACTCACATGACTTCTATTGGACACAGAAGGCTCAGTCAACCCATTATAAGTAGTATGAGGGAAAAACAAACTTGCACTACTTTAATTCTGTTAGGTTTTGTAGTTGTTACTGAAGCTAACTAAGCTCCTTATTGACTAGCAATCTACTTATTAGTCACTGCTCTTCTCTCCTCTGTGAAAGATCTCTGACTTTGTTGGGAGCAGGAATATGCTGAACTAAATTCTTCCCTTTCAGTGCCAACCCCGGCAACCCAAGTAAACGAGGTGACAAAGTTCTAGCTATAAGATATAAGAACAAGTCTCTTGGAGTTTCTGTAAAAGCACTGACATCACTAAAGGAACAGACATCTGTGGGTACAACGTTCTCCCTTCTTGTGAATGCAAGTCTGATATCTGAAGCTGAGATTGAGCTGAGACATGAAGAGACGTGAAGAGAGTAAAACATGAAGAGAAACGCAAACACACCAAGGATGATGGGGTAGGAAGATCCAAACACAGAACAGAAAAGGTCCAGGTTTTTCATGCAAATGGATATCAAGAATGTAAACCAACCCCTAACACCTTCCTGACTTGGGCAATTTTTGTTTTGTTTTGTTAGTGATACCAGAGATCAAACCCAGGACATCATATACGCTGGGCAAATGCTTTACCTTAATCAACAGCCCTGCTTCTTTTATTAATTTTTATTTTGAGATTATCTCAAAAAGCTGCCCAGTCTGGCCAAAGGTTTCTGATTCTCCTATCTCTGCCTTTCAAGTAGCTAGAATAACTAACATATACCACCACATCCAGGCATGACTGACAGTTTTTAGGTGAGGAAAATAGTCCTTTATCCTTTATTTGTTTAAGCCACTGTCCGTTTTCTTTTGCTGCCAAGATCATTCCACTCTGATGACCTATATATGCTTGGAAATAGCATATAGATTGATTTCACACAATGAAATCTGTGAAATCATTGTGAAATCAATCTGATAGTCTTGCTCTTTTGTTAGCAGAATTTGGTTCAATAAATTTGATTTTCTATTTTATTTGAGGAGGGGTGCATTGACTTGAGGGGCTTTTGGATTGAGCTAAATTCTCCATCTGATTTTATTTTTATTTTGAGACAGGGTCTTACTAAAGTTACTAAACTGCCCACGCAGGGCTTAAACTTGTAATGCTTCTGCCTCAGCTTTCCAGAGTGCTGGGATCACAGGCATGTGTCACCATGCTTGAAAGGTTTTATGTTACATTTGCTATTTATTCATTATTTGTCTTTGTTTCCTTTCCTTAATTTTGATAGTTTATGCACCTTTGTGTTTACTTCTGTTTTCTTCTATGAATTTTGAGTATCTGTTTTTCAGTGGACTAATTGTTAGTTTTCTATTCCTAAATCATTTTTATTTTATTCCTATACTTCTTACAGTTTTATCATGAGATCAGTCTCACCAAGATTTTAATTTTTGGTCTCTCTCTGAAACATTGCTTCTGAAAATATACTTCTTTTTCAGATAATGGCTGTCTTAATCATAACATTTTTGCTTATTTTTTCCTCTTTCAGGAGCCTACAGGGCATTTTTAGGGTTGCTGATGAGAAGTTGGATACTAATATAATTGTTTTCTCTGAAAATAATTTATTCTAGTAGCTTGCAAGATTTTCTCTTTATCTTTACATTTTGGAATTTCAACAGCATATATCTAGGCATGTGCTCTATGCACTGCCTCCCCAATCCTGCTGTAGACTTGGTAAATTTTTTTTAATGTTCAGATTCTAGTTTTTTCAACTTTAATTTCTTTCTTCTATTATTTTTCAACCTCTGCAGTCCAATACTCCTCCCCTGGGCTATACCTCCTTTTTTCTCCTTCTGAAACTTCTACTATTTGCTATTTGTATGCTAGGTTTCTTAGATGCCTCTTTTTCCCTGCTTCACAATTTTCATCTTCATGTTTCTGGTCTGAATTATAAGATATTTCTTTCACTTGCTTTTCCAGAACATTAATTCAGTTCTTAGGGATGACTATTTTTGTTCTTCTCTTTTTTTTCCCCGTTTTTATTTACTGAATTTTTATATTTAGAAACCATGAGTTTTTAGCTGATGTCCTCAGTTATCTTTTAAGCTCTCATCTATATCTTAAATTTGCTCTTTCCCTAGGAGGAGTCTTAGATTCTCATTTTTCAACTTGGACTGTCTTACCATTGTGCAATATGGTAATTTATATAGGATGGCATCCTATGGTTAAATCATTGCACATTCATCATTATAAAATTTCACTATAAGATCAGTTCGCTCACATCAACAAATAGGCACATTTTTAAGATTTTAAGATCTTATTGCCAAATATTTCTCTGGATCAGAATAATCAATTTGTGTTTTCACCAATAACCAATTTATATCATATTCTTCCTTAACCCATGCTAAATGCAAATACTACATTTTAGGACATCTTTCATAATCTGATAGAAGGAAAAGGGTCTCTCTCTCTTAATTTGTATCTGTTTACTAACCATGCTGGCATTTTTCATATGTTTTGAATTTACTCATGTTTTGATATTTTTCATGTTGGACCAACTGTATTTATTTTTTGAATTATGTATCAATGTCCTTTGCACTTGTTAAGCTGGATATAAAGTTATTTTATTTTTTCTTTATTAGTACATGTTTTTAACAATCACATTCATCTCAGGGACTAGGTACATATTTAGTTCTTTTTATTCCCTCCCTTCACTTTCCTTTCCTTCATCTCCCTCTGTATCCCATTCCCATTTGCAAAAAATCTATCTCCCTGTTTATAGTTTCATGTTCTTAATCTTGATTATCCTCATACCCTTCAATGACTTTTAAAGTTTTACTTTGATAGGTTAACATCATAACCTGTTCTTCCTTTCACTTAATTGATGTTTCTTTTTGCTTATCCTTTTTAAGTTTTGAGTCACTTTGTTCTAGCTATGTCTATTACAAAGCTATGTCTGGACAGCACACAGGTAAATTCCGGTCTTTGACCTACTGTGATAATGCCATATTTTTATTTGTTACATACAAAACAACATGTAATGTACAGTTATTAAACAAGTTCCAACTCAGTTATACATAGCATTAACTCTTTTACATGCCTCTCTTTTTGTCTATTTCTGTGTCTACTACTGCTTCTTAAATTCTCTATTTTATGCATTCAATTTCTCTAAAAAGGATGTTACATTCACAGGAAAATGTGAAGTGACTTTCAATTCCCATCAAACACATTCTTTGTTTGTTAAATGTCTGAGACATCTGTTATTAAAATACATTAGCTTTTGGAATTTCAAATCTTTAAATGGCTGCATATATACTGTCAAATACACACTGTCACATACTCTTAGGGATATTTGTCAAGGCTAGGACAAACGTAAGACTTTTGCAGCTTTATTGAGCACATAATTCCCCATCAGCACTGACCTTCTGAAGTCCACCATTCTCCTCCACCAATGGCGGAAGCACACTAGGGCTGCTGGCTGGAGGGCCCTCCACATTATAATCTCGGAAGCAGCAGAAGAAGGAGCTAAGGATGCTGCGGCTCCTCTGCTTCTTTAAGCTGACATTGCATTGGGAAGCTGAAAAGAGAAACAGAGCACAGTGTGGCCAAATGCAGGACGTACCAACGCAATGTGAATATTAGGATGTACAATTGCTCCTCAGGACCCTCATTCCAGGGTACTTGCTCAGGACAAGATGAAGGGCCCCTAGAGTCCAATTCAAGTAGCTGGACAAAATTCCCCTGCCTTTAGCCCAGTGAAGGCTGCTTGCCAGTTAGATGAATCACCTTTATCATCTACATTCCTGAACCCAATGAATGAAGTATTCTTATCATGCACTAAGTTTGTAAACAAACATCTTTCTGGGTAAAAATCAGACCCTAAGAAGCACCTCTCCATTATGAGTATCAAGAAAGAGTCATCTTGAAATGAGGTTCTTGGACACCCACTACTCACTATAGAAATAATCAACTTTAAGGATTAAGAAACAAAATAAGCACAGCCACAAAAGAAGTATCTTTTTAAATTCAATTGTTTGTCAGAAGTTGGGGAGGCCTACACCAACCAAGCTCAGACTTGAAGGCTTCCCATATTCTTAAAGCAGAAGTAGCAGGAGATGTGGCACAAAGTGCATGTACATCAGTCTAGCAGGGCAAGGCTCATCTTCATGAGATCCAGGGCAATACTGTCCCCTGGTCCATCCTGGACTAAGGCACCAGACAGAGTGATGGATTCTTTCTTTTTATTCAGTGTATAAGACAAGCCACTACAAGTCAGAAATAAACAATAAAAATTGGCATAGGTGGGAAACATACCTCAGGGCAGGAGACTGACAATTTGGAGGGGCAGAAGCATTTTGCTTAGGAATGTAGCTGGGGCTGTCTCACCACATACCACGGCTGGGTGGGTCAGCAGTGTTCTGAACAGAGTCCACAGGTAAGAGACCATTCTGAGCATTAATGGTAAAACTGACAATGAGCATATAATTTAAGCCTACATGGTAACTGCTGGAACTTATTTCTCCCAAAAAGCAATTCCAGCATGATTTCTCTTTTTGTATATTTGTGAGTGATTTGAGAGATCACAAAACCTTTGCTAAAAGTTCTGGGATTCTCCTGTGCGTAGTAAAACCAAATACATTCACATGGAATGTGTGAAAACCATTTTTTCCAGTAACTCTGCAGACATGGATGGTTTGAGAAAGGAGCTCAGAAAGTATGAATTGATCACTAAATATTGTTTTTGAACCATAAATCCCTGGGCAAGTAGGCTATCTTTATCATCCTCACAAATTTTTAGATGTATAATACACAGTACTAATGGCTTAATTTTAGGACCATAAGACCTGGGAGCTGCCAACAGCAATGGTGGTAAGAGACAATCACCACTGTTGACCCAGGGCCAATGCTCCAGGTACTTTGCTTTATAAGCTTCATCTCAGGTCATCCTCATAGCTATCCAAGCAGATACATGTTATTGCATTGATTATTGCTGAGAAGATATAAGCAGTAATTTTTAGTGCCAGAATTCAAACCCAAGTGGACTTGCTCCTAAACTGTGTGATTTCCCCATGTGCCATGCTGATGACAATCCTGAAACACTTCAGGTCTGATTAAGGAGGGAGGAGGCCAAATAAAGAGAAAAGTAGTACAACAAACTTGTATTTAATATGATTGGTTACATAGTATCACTGTTATTTTGGGAGTTAATAGTTTTTGTATCACACTCAAATAATTTAGCCAAGGAAAGAAAAAGACCTGAATTTCCCCTGGCTGATAGCACATTTCTCTACAAGTAAAAATATTGTTTGTTCATGTCTTGGAGACACTGTGCAACCAGAGAAAAGAATTTTCCAAGATCCTACTTTCTTCTTGGATCACACAATCGTCACCATAACTAACAAATTTATATACTAAAAAAATTCCTACACTTGGCACAAGTAAGCTACTTATAATTTCCACCTTATAATTACTTACTATACTGAAAGTGCAAAGAGAGCTTGGGCAGTCAGTAAGTTAGCCTGAGTCACATGAAGGCCATTACCACCAGACAGGGAAATGGTAGCCAATCGTACTTTGCCTTCTTCACATAAAGAGAGGAAGAAGCTGCAGTTGTCTCTCTTCCACAGTTGTGGGAAGTTCAAGGTCTCTTTCTGTTAAATGAGGTTATTTCTAGCCATTCTAATTTTCTAACCACTCTTGGACTGGGCTGCTAGTCTCAATATATAGTGAAGTGAAGAAACAGATTTCTTCAGGACAGGAGGAATTTCTGTTCCTCCAGGAGGAACAGCACTCTCGGCATTCATTTATGTTTAAATGGGGCTCAAACTGTGGGGCTGTCTGGGTCCAGTACCCTACCACTTTCCATCCAGTTGCTACCTTTTCACTTGATGCAGTGCAGAAAGTCTGGATTTGCTCATAAACTGCTACAAGAGTTTTGCTTGAAAAAAAAACAAAAACAAAAACAAAAAACAAAAATTCATAGTTTAACAGAAAAATGTTTATGATATCAGCTCCAAAACGCTAGCTATGGAATTGTATGTAGATCTCATTTAATTATAACTTCCAAAAAAGGAAAAAGATTATCATTGGAAAAAAATTTGGCAAAATGTGTCCAAAATTTACAATAATTGTCAGATTATGAGTGTTTTATATTTTTTCTTTCTATATCTTCCAAATGGTTTGTGATAATTATGTAATCAGTAATTTAACAATAGGGAACAGTAAGTAATCTTGTTAAATGTTCTTTCAGCAACTTCGTGACCTTTACCTGTCAGACTTACTTTATGCCTTTTCACTTCAAGCCTATGAAGCAAACAAACCAGGCAATAGCAAGTAGTATTTTAAATTTTGCAAGAAATCTACATGGCCCACAGGTACTGTGGGCCAGAGAGAACAAACCCACCAAGCTCACAATCAGAGAACTGTGTGAGAAGCAGGTACCAGGAAAGTGTCTCTTTGCCAGTAGAATGTATCCTGTGTACGCAAATGTTCTTTTCTGTTCTTATGACCTTGCCTCTCACCTTCTTTTCTCTTTAAATGGTTCCACTGAAAAAGTAGCTCAAGAATACAGGAACAAGATCTTTTAGGATACTAAAAATTATTCAGGTATATGTTTATTACATTGCTTTAAAAAATTACTTTGGAGACTTTGGGGGAAATGGTGGAGTAGGTAAACGAGAACAGTTTAACCTTTCAGATTCTGAATCTGGTCAATTTGGGGAAAATAAAATGAGAAAATTAGATACCAGGCAAACAGGAAGGATCTGACAGGAAAATTAAAACCTAGAGAAAAACTGAAGGGACAGAACACAGCACGAAGAAGAGAATGGCCAATCTGTACTCACTCCCTGGCTCCTGGCTCCTGGCTCCTAGCTCCTGGCTCCTGGGAAAAGGGAAGCAGAATCTATAGAGACAAACTAACAGCTGGGAACTTCAAAGGGCTTCAGAAAGAAATGTGGTGGGCAGCCTGACTCATCTGTATGGTCTCATTGGACATAGGCTCTGTATGCCCCAGAACCCTGCCACCGTGGCAGATTCTTTCCCCAGACATGTCGTGGGGCAAAGGGTGCCATCAGCGGCACCACTGGTAGCTTTGCTTCACTTGATCTTTAGATATAGCAGTGGCCCTGCCCTATGGTGGCCCTCCACTCAGGTTAGTGCTACTTCCCTGTCTGTCCCTACCTCAAAGCAAGTTCAAATGATTGTGCCTGCCCTCAATGTCCCAGGAGTGATCTGGATGGGAGTGTGCTCTTGGGTACTGGTTTGCAAGAAAGTAGCAAAGTGACTTTGCTGACCAGGAGGCTTTTTATTGGTACATGTTAGCACCTGTTTTCAATTGCTGGACACAAAAATTTAATAATGGCCTTAAACTTTGTGTGACTCTGTTCTAAAAGAAGAGTTCCTGGCTGGAGACAGGACATAAAAAACAGGGAAACGGGTGCGGTGGAGTTGGGGGTTGTGTTTGTTCAGAATGATTAAGACTGATAACAGTCCCTGTGGAAATATTTCATCCAATCTTTATCATTAAAATGTTTTCCTTTTTTCCCTCTCTTTCTTTGATATATTTTACATCAGCTTTGTCTTTTACCTTTATCTAATTCTATAAACATCCTTTCACTTTCCAATTAGATCCTTTTGTACCACATCTCTGTCTTCCTTCTTATATCATTTACAATGATATCTCAGTTCATGAATGCTTTTGTTTGCAAACAACTTGGTTCAGAAACAAAGCATTTGGCAAAATCTGGTTTTTGTCTGTAAACTCTGCATTGGGTGGTGAACACAACTGTGGCCATCTTTCCCATATGAACATGAAAGTGGCTGTCTTTTCCAGAATCATGAAAAGAATTAAATTCATGAATAGAGGTACCACTGTAGTTTAAAGTTTCAAATTCTTCCTTGTGCATTTGCCCATTCCCAAATTCTGAATCTTTAGCAGTATAACTATAAAGCTTTGTTAATCTTCTGAAAGTTTCTATGTAAAATTACTGTTGAATTCTTTTTTACCATTAGTAGGGATATATCTGTCACATTCAGTACATACCTCGGTTGTCTTAATGTTTACACCATATTTGTGAATTTCTTCTCTAGGGTTAAGAATAGTATATAGTTGGTTCTTATGGTATGTTAAGATTCAAATTATCTTAAAATGATACTATTGTAGTTGATTTGTTTGATATTACCATGGTTGTCACTATTTTCCTACAAGTCAACATTCAGATTACCTTTCTGACATTAGTAACACTAGAGAGAACTTGGTTGTTGAGCTAATTATCCTCTCCTCCCAAATTAACCAATTAGTGTTTAGATCTTGGGGTTGAGATAAGGACAATAGTTATCCAAGCCCAAAGAACATCACTGCTAAACAATGAAACAGATCTCTATGTTAGCAACAAAGTCTTTACACTGTAAGTGGCAAATGGCCACAACCTCAGTACAAAACAAGCACCCAAAAAAAAAAAAAAAAGGCATGAAAATATGAGATAACAAAAGGGCTTCCAAAACTCCCAACTACCCTGAAACAAATCCAGGTTACACCAGAATAGCATAAATTGCACACCTGAATTACTTGAAAAT